ACTCCCATGCTTAAAAGTTCTCATGTTTCCAGGGTTATGAACTTTATGCTTACAGTATTTTCTGGACAGTAAGCCGCTTCTTTGTTTTCCACACTTTGAACCATGCAGCTTATACACTGGTGGTGCTTTTATGTGGATTTCTTCTGACCACCAGGGGCAGAAGACTTAGTTGGAAATCAAAGAAGATGGGGCCAATTTTCATTTAGCATACGCACATGCTAGCAGCAGGCACAATGTAGAACTATGTCTTGAATTTACTCATTTTTACATTTATTTACCGCATTAAATTTGTCGAACCAATTAATTTTCTGTGCACAACTCCTGCAGAACTGTAATGGAGCTGACTAAGCAACATCTTTCATTAGAAGCTCTTACTACCACGAGCAACATGCTTCTTCGTCCCTACTCTAGGGGGTGAAATGGAGAGCTCCCCCTACAGGTTTGGTGGGGGGCAGGTCAGTAGATATCAGCAGTTTACAGCCTGGTGAGCAGCTTACATATGTACGTTTCCAGTTAAAGAATAAACTTGGTGAGTGCAGCTTACAGTAAGATGTATGGAAGCAGAGTGTCCCTCCAACACTTTTTTACAATTTTTATCTCCAGATAAGTTAATTTTATCATCATCTAAAGATAACGAAAGCCATTTTCTCGTGATAACAGAATGATTCATTTTGACAAAATAAACTTCTCTTTCTTGAGATCATGAGATAATTGATGTGGGAGTTAAACTAATTAGCCCTACATCTATCAATACCACAAAGGAAGGAGAGCTTAAGTCGTGTGTAATTCTGTAAATAATACAATGAATAGCCTAACTTTTAGGTAGCAAGATTGATTTTTGGTTAGGTTATTTACTTCCAAGTTTGATTTATGATAATTATCTCATTATCTCGGAGAAAACAGTTATTGTTTTTTCCTCTTAATGGGATAGCTATGTCATTATCTCGAGAAAACAATCCCTGTTTTCTCGTCATATTGAAGAAAAGTATCTAGTTACCTCGAAAAAAGATTTAATAGTTTAACCATGATAACGAGATAGTTATATCCTTATCGCGAGAAAAAATAAATACAAATTTGAGTATGGCTGTTCTCGGCTTCCAAAAAGGTAGGCTCTATAGTCTGGAAAATAAGGTAATTTTGCAACAACGGTGAATAATCCGGGTCCAGTAAGTAAAACGTCTTTATAGAGATTAGTCCAAAACATTTACATTTCCAGCCCCACAACACAGGCTGGAGTCTCATCACCTAACAGGATGAAGGAAAAGCAGGCAGGGTTTTTATGTTCCGTACCTGGATTTTAATAGTATGACCAGTCTTCCAAAAAGGACAAATGTTTAGGGAACGTAGGACAAATAGCTGCGGAGGGGCATGCCCTCTCTTTAACTATTTTGAAAGATTGACTGAAAACCGCATCGTGAGATGCTCAAGGTTTATCAAAGTTTGTTAAGACATCTTTCTCCCTGACCTGTGTGCCTTTTCTTAGTCCTCATAATAACTTTTGTTCACTAATGTTTTCTAGCAAAGACATGAACAGCTGGATTTATTCTGAGATCAAACTTCACAGAAATTCAAACTGTTCAGTTATTAGGTGACTACAGAAGTAAGCTTGCTGCACTTATTTAGAGGCAACATTAAAGAGGGCTTAGCTCAAATGAATCCTACATCTCAATTTGTTTCCACTTCAAATTATGCTCTACTTTGTGTTTTTGTGTCTTGATAAACTGAATGCTGTATTTTTAAAAAAATGCCATTATGGTTATACTGGACCTTAACTTTAGCAAAGTTTTAAAAACATGTTCATATCATTAATCATGCATTTCAGAAGTTATATTCTGTATTTAAAAAATATACGTACAGAATGTAATGCTCTGTTTTTAAAGTAAAGTTTAGGATGACTCCACAGTCACAGCAAAATCTGTGTTGACTGCGTTTCATACCCAGTTGAACACAATCAAACTGCCTACTTTGAGATGACTTTCAATGAAAAGGTTTTTGGTTCTAAAACTGCCAGAGGACCAGCTTTCAAAGACTACAGTTTTTAAAATCCAATTATAATAGAGTCCAGACTTTTAAAATTTTAATGTAACCGGATCTGTTGAGGTGAAATGTCATCCTTTGGGGGAGGGAAAAAAAAGGCAAATTCATGCAGAATTTATTAGCAGATGTTGTTCTTGATTTGATTAATGTCATTAATACTTATAGCAGAATATAACCTAAAACATGACAGGCAAACTAGATACTAAAAGCCTTATTAAAAGTCTGTAACAGGATCAGCTCTTTTAAAAACAAAAATCTATTTCTGAAATATTTTACCTGCTCTGTAACTCTACTGTAGTTTGCTTTAATGTACAAAAAATAGGATTTTATTATTATTTTATTTCAGAGCAAAGTAAAATAGATTTTAAATGTACAGATGGGACCTGAAACAACAATGAAGTAAGAATTATTGAATTTAATATAATTCCATTCATGAATGTGAAAAGGTTTATAAATAAATGTTGCACAAACAATGCAACACCTTTTTGTATATTGCAGATCTGAGTAATGATCATAAGTAAGAATAAGTCATCCAAAACAGGGTCAAACCTAAAAAAAAATATTTTTATCTATAATTTGACTTAAATTTTGTTTGTTTTACAACAGTAATATTTACCAGCATCTTTTTCATCCACAGGACTAGATTATATATCCTTTACTAATTTGGTCAAGCACAAATAATCAATGTTTAGCAAACTTATGTTAGTTCACAGCATGTGTTTTAAATGCAGGAGTACTTCTCAATGTATTATGGCTGTGTGTTCTACTTTGTGATATCAGTAGAAAAATAAACTAAATCACCAAGAAAACTGTGTAGCCTTGAGAATGTCTGTTTTATTTGCCTTTGTACATTTTCAGTCATTCAGTTCATGGCAAAAATAAAACGGGCTTAAATTGGAGTAAATTGGACTTTTAATCATAGTTTCAACCATATTTTTTTGTTCGGTTACACAGAAAACACTGTAATTCCATATTTTTTTTCTAAGAAACTCGGAGATTTTCGAACCCAACATCAAACTCAGACAAAAAGATGTTCATTTTAAAGACAGAAATCCTAAACCAATGCGGAGCGCTATTGTTTATGCGATCCAGTTCAGTGATGACTGTACAAACCAGCAGCTCTGAAAAAAATTCAGCTGTACACTTCAACAAGAAAGGACACACCTTTGGAGACCAAAATGTTTCAATTCTGATCAAAGATGAAAGATGTTTTGAAAGAGAGGTGAAGGATGCAGTCTTTGTGAAAAGAGAAAAGCCATCATGGCCCCATAGTTTTAGCTTCCAAGCATCTAGAATTCAGCACTGGAACTCATTTCAAAGAAATTGCATGATCACTCACCATAACACACAGTCAATACCCAACAAGAGACTCCAAAAACACAGGAAGACGATGGGAGGGTCTTTAATTTGCACCCGATTTAAACTATGCTTAGGAAGATGGACCTCCATGCTGCTTATAACCCAAATACACATTGTTCTGGTGCAAGCCAACAGAATTAACAAAGAATCCTTGGTAGCCATTGAAATGTCTTCAGAAAAACTGAGCAAAAGTCTGGTTTCCTCAGAATCAAGCTTGTTTTGTGCTTATACGTTGTACAGTTGCTTACATTTTCTAGAAGTCTAAAGAACCACCTTCAACTGTACAATTAACAATTAAAAATAGCATAGGAATATTTTGCAATTCTATCCTGTGTTGGTGAAAAATGCGCATCAACCCAAAACAAAAAACACCTTGTGAAGAGGGTGGTTGACGCCTATGAGTTTGGCAATTTAAGCTACTTCAAAAACATTAAAACCAGTAAAGATTGTAAAGATCTTAAGACTTGGAGAAATGTCGATAGAACTAAAACGACCAAATCTGAAGGAAAAGACTGGGCATTGCATACTGACTTTGCTTGTTTGTATTATGTATGGATGGTCAGGGTAGTTGGCATCGTGAGGAAACATTGGAGTAGCATCTCAGTTTATCAGGGGATAAGGTTAAGTTGGGCTTAAATGCGTTACATTTTTGCAGAGCTTAAAAGGTGCGACAGCAAGGCTGCTTAAAAATTTAACTCAGTAACACCTGTACTGTTAGGAGGAGGGAGCAGATTTCCAGCAAAATGTTATGAAAAGCAAAACATATGATCCAAGTTACACAATCAGGCAAATCTATTAATTATTATGGAAATGTACATAAACCAACATCCAAATGATTTTTATATATTTTCTATTCCATTTGTTTTTGTGTCTGTTTGATCTGTTTTTTTTTTTTTAATGCAACACTTTAGTTAAACAAATTGTATTGGTATATATATATATATGTGCTTATAAAGTCGATTTAAACAGTGATAGGTTTTTTCATTAGGTGTATCTTAATGTGTCATTTAAATTTTATTTTCTTCACAACACTAAACCTTAAGGATGGGAAACTTACATTTAATCGGTTTGATTAAGAATATATATATATATATATATATATATATATATNTATATTTTTTTTTTTTTTTTTAACTAGCTAAATGTAAAGCTTTTAATAAATAATGATAATATGGGAATTATTTTAAGGTGGAAAAGTGATTAAAATAAAATTGAGAAGACAACATGACCATAAACAGATTAAACATTTTAATAAGAACACTTAATAAAAAAAAAAGATTTTCAAAACTAGGACTTTGAGTAACATTAATAATGCATTGTCACAGATATGTCACAAGTACACATTAAAAACAGCTTTTAAACAAGAGGCCATATGTGTGTGTCTACTTTCACACACAAGCAAAAGTCATCTTAAACAATGACCAATATTAGGCTTCTGTTAACCCAAACAGGGGAATCAACCTTTGTTACAAATCACCAACAACCATATTCAGTCCACAGTACAACAATTTATCTAATACTGTAAATGCTTCAGGCTGCAGGTGTTATTGCCCACAACAAAGTACCATTCTGATTTTTTTTATTTTTTATTTTGGGTTTGTTTCTATTCTTTTTTCCTGTCTGTTTGTTCGTCTCAATTTAGCATCAGGTCAAGTTCAGAGACTAACAGGAGGGAAACACAGCTTTATGACACCTATCAACCTTTTTTTTTCTTTTAAATGCGTGACTGACAGTTCTTAAATGGGAAGAAAAGAAAAAAATTTGGGATGACCGTTTTAGCATGAAAAACACAGGTTTTACCAAAATGATCCAATTTTGAATATTAACTAAGATGGTAATGTGGACAGCCATTTACCACTGAACTGCCCATCAGTGAGCTTCATCTGACAATGAAACACGGCAGTAGCTGGATTACTTCTGGCCTGTGTATCCAAACGGTTGTGGGGAGCTCAAGTTCATGCATATTGTCAACATAACAGAATCAAGAGAGCAGAAACTTCTAAAATTCTATTTTATTCGAGAACAGTAACATATAGGGATGCACCGATACAGTTACAATAGCATTACTGGACATCATTTCCCTTAAGTTGTGTCATATAGGGCATGTGGGAAAAAACAAGCCAACATTTCCATCATTTTCAGATCCCTGTAACAAGTCTGAGTGATATTGCAGTTTTCTTATTCAACAAAGTAAAACACGAAGCTTTCAACTGTTAATTGCTGCAGTGGATTTTTTGAGGGGGGGAGCCTTAAATCTTCGTCACGCATGTGAAAAACGTGGCATCGGTACATCCCTAGTACCACAAATTCATTATAACTTACTGCGGAGCTCCACTCCCTGCAGAAAGATCTGGAAAGAATGACTATCGACTCTTGAATGAATCAATGCCGTCTGGGCTTACATCAAGAATTAATGGCAATCTCCTGGACACAGCAATGAAGATAATCATGCACACACACACAGACACACACACACACTACTCAGAGGATGATGGATGTTTAAAGTAAATGAAAAGAGTTGCTTTTGCTCAGTAACGTGCATCAGTCTTGGCGTACGTTGACAATATTTGAGTCTATCTTCAAGTAAGGGCTGAGTTATGTGTTTGCGCTCATGTCTAAAAGGTGATTGTGTGTGGTGTATATATAAATATACATATGCATCAGTGCACTGCATGTGTGGTACATATTAAAGTGTGAATTTGTCTTCTCTCCCCTCAAACAGTCTAAGTCAGCCCAGAGACATTATTTTCACATTACCGAGTGAGCTACATTTTTATTCCTCCCCTGCTTTGACGTATATTTACAGGCAGAAAACCATGGCCTTTCCTACTGTATGTTCCCTTTCTCCATCTGTTGGTCGTTAGCACTGGAAAGAGATGAGAAAAAGGGGCCAAAACAAAAAATGCACTCAGATGTATTGATAGATTCGCAGGCTGAGAGGATCCTGGTTTGTTTTTTTTTTTGCTTTTTTTAACTATGCTCTGTACACTGGAAACAAATAAAAAGAAGGTTCGATTATTTTGGCATCAATGCTTTGGTCACAAAATACCAACATGTTTATTCTTTTGCTTGTTTTTTTGTGGTCGTTTTCATAAGCTCATTTTTCTTGAAGTAAGTCCCAGTCGTGTTGCACCCTGACCACGTGTATGTCCGAGTACTGAAAAAGGTAGGTTTGTTGTAGTCCTGTCATCGCACCTCCGATGCAGTCCTTTAAAGAGGCACAGATTTTCTTATAAATTATGTGACTGTGAATGCTCGGGCAGACGGAGGGAGGGAGGAGGTTAAAGAAGCAGAGGGTTGCCCCCTGTGCCCCCGCGTCCCCTCCCCTTCCTTGCACTCCGTATGTGCCCGCCGACCATGTCCCGTCACCCCTTTTGCGAGCACGTTCTGCAGCACAGCTGCTGCAGCACTCTCCTCTGGCAGAGATTGTTCTTTTTAACGAGCACGCAGAAACCGCCTTCCGCCCAAGATTCTTCATTTGCTTTCCACAGACCAAGAAGAGGAGATATGGGAGGAGGAAGGGGGTCGGAGGAGGGAGGGGGCAATACAGAGAAACACACAAAAGGAAGAACCATTACAAACAACAGCAAGAGCCACGTGATTGGTCAGGGGAAGGTTCAGGTGACAGGAAGGAGTTTTTGTTTTAATTTTTTTTAATCCAATCACAGGTGATGTTCATCGAGGTGGAAATGGATTGCAGTCCAGCGGAGTGATTGAATCCATGTCAGGAGAAACAGGAAATGGATTTGGGGTAAAGAAAAGAGAGAAAGAGGAAAAAAGTGTCACACAATTAGTAAAATAATAATTCCCCCAATATTCATTTCATTTCATCAAACAAAAACAAAAAAATCTTAGTAGACCCTCGTCTGTACACCCGGCTTATCATCTATAATAGCTTTAAAAAAAAAAAAAAAAAAAAAACAGCCTTCTCATTTTAAGCTGCAGATCAAACCATCAACAAAATGAGCCTTTGATTATAGGAAGGCAGGAGACAGACGAAGGGTGCACTTTATGATAATAAAGATCATCATTAACAGAAAGGTGACGCAGCAAAGGCATGCTTTTATCTCATCACACAGATATCTCTTCAAATCAACTCGTCTAAGCAGGAAATCACAAGCTGCAGGCAAAGCATTGTTAGGCTGTGAGGTCAGCAGGTTAGTCAAATGTTTGTGTAAAGATTCATAGACACAAAGTGAAACATTTGGAGGGAAAAAGAACAAAGTGGAAAGTGCACAGAAGAAAAAAAGACTAGATGATATTAGGTGGACTTCAAATCCGTGCAGACCAAAGCTATAAAAAAGTGCAATTTTTTTTTTTTTAGCAATAAAGACCTTGCCAGTGAGCATTTCCAGAGAAGTGATATGTTATAGGCCTAAGCTGTCAAAACGCAGCACCAAAGCCAGAAGCATGGAAGCAAAGACAGACCGGCCTCTTACTTAAGAACTACGATAGTGAGCGAATTAGTAAAGTTGTTAGTGCAAAGCTCTAAATGTTAAGTGCCACAAATTAATTGTTTTTACTGCATTTTAAAACCTTTCTGTTGAATTAATATTTAAGTCCATTTGTTTTAGCAAATTTCTTTTTGTATTTCAGAATTGTCCCTGTTTTTGCACAAAATGATTATATAAAAAAACTCTATGCTATGCATTAGGTAGTAATTCACATGCAAGAACTAATAATCAAAATGCACTCAGTCAGATAACCAATATGTAACCAATAAGAAAGCTGACAACTCACCATCTTTACAGACGGTGCTAACTACGCAGGTTCCCGCCTCCAGGTTGTAGCCACTGTTGCAGCTGCTGCAGTTTAGCTCCCCAGGTCCCAGGCACTCAAAACAACTATTGTCACATCTGTTCAGGGTTTAAAACAAAAACACGTTTACTAAAATACTATTAAGTAAGTCAAGCTTTTATCACACTGACTTGATTTAATGGTCAACACATTGAAAGGAGAGAACCAAAGAAAATCATGGAAAGTAACAAAAATATTGTCACTAAAAGAGCATTAAATGAATTAAAACAAAATGAGGTATTGAAACAAAATAAAGTTAATAATTTTAATTCTTTTCAATAAGAAATGAGAAAAAAAAGGGAGATGAATATCCTGTATATCGCCTTGGTCACAATAAAACCTCTGCTTTGCAGGAATAACGAAAATGTTTTGCCAACAAAAAAAAACAAAAAACAAAACAGAAAAGACAGAAAATGGGCTGACAGAAGAGGAAAAAAATGAAGGGTACAAGGTCAGGAGAACAATAAATAATTCAGGGTCTGAGAGCCAATTGCAAGGAATGCATTACAGCGACTGATGAGAGAAAGCACAAAACATGTCTGATCCTATGGACAGGTTTGGCTATGTTAACTAATAAACTGGTCATCAAATAAAAGAGCATTAATAAAGCATACTTATATTTTTTTTCCCTCTCCCATGTCCTACTTTATAAATTGAGCATTACTTGAAAGTGGAAAAAAATACATCAACCATGCTTATCAGAGCAGATTACTTTGATCCGTCTGTTAAACTTTCATTCAAATGAAATCGAGAAAAAGTGGGAAGCTGCAGGCTGTCTGCATGAAATGTAAAATGAACACTTTTAAGTGCAAAAACAATGTTCCACCATTATTTCTAATATTAAAAAGATTTTACTGTTCATTACATCTGAATAAGCAATTAGAATGTAACAACTTTTGCAGACTTTGCATTGTCCCTCAGAGCCTATTTTATAGGAATTTGGGGTTTTGGCCTCATTGTTTTTTTAAAAACTGCAAGCTGTTTAGAATAAAATACTTTAGATGAAAAAAATGCTTTCTTCCATCTAAAAAACATGAGCTTGAAAAAGGTTAAAGCCGTCATCACCTGGAAATCGGACTTATGTTAAAATGTGTGTTTGTGTTGAGCCTCAGTCAAACCCTGTCAGACAATCTGGAGTGTGAAATGGACTATTGTTGCGTGTGGCCTCTTTGTTCAAAGCAGAAAAGCCCACTAGGGTATGCTCTTCACAGAGTCCATTAATGGTTCTCATCTTTGATTTACGTCATTCATGGAAGGATGCCAACAGAATTGATGATGGTGGTGAAAGCAACCCAACCTTGCTATCATCACACTCGTCTTTATTCTGACTCCCAATGTGTGCACATTATTTGGCGGCAAGTTTACTGCAGCATTTAAAGCTTTAGGAGGTGAAGAGTTTTAAAAGTAGCAACAATGCAAAACAAAGCCATTATCTGGGGTCTTTGCAATGAATTTATTGGAATATCCTTATGAAATTCCCCATGATTATCACAGGTTTTCTAGATATTATTCACCCCAAACCCCTATAGTCATGTAGTAATGTAACTCCACTTTGTGTTTTTTTTTTCCTCCAGCATGCTCAGTCTCTCTTCAACACTGAAAGCACTCTTGGATGCGTGATTCTGAGTTTTCTCCCATCTCCACCGTCGCATTCCAAGTCTTTCACTGCAGATGACAAACTATACCGACCCCGGTTCCACTGGACGGTTCTCTGTTCAAATGGATCGTCTTTCCAAACTGCTAAGTCAACAATATGATGCACTTCGGTGGGCTTCAATAGACAGAGAATTTAATACCAATCTGTGTTACTGCATTGCCATGGGATTAGCCTACACTGTTTGAAAGTGGACCTGTATCCAAGGATAGGATTATGTCAATCAGAATTAATTGGATTAATTTGTAATTGCATGATATGGAGCCGCCTGTCTTGTCTAGTGCCTTGAGATGATATTTGTGCATTAACTGCATCAACAGATGCAAAAACACTTTGGTAAATAGCACTAAACTAGGTTTTCAGAGTCAAAGAAGACTTTAATTTCTGAATTTTTCTGCTGAATTTTCTGTTTATTATTTCTAATGTAGATTAATTTTACATGTTGACTTACTTCTTACAGGACCTCTGCACCTGCCCGTTGTCTGAGATCTGATCTGACAGGTAGTAACCAGGGCTGCATGTTAACACGCACCGCCAGTCCTCAAGTAAATAGCCATCAGCACATTTCGTACACGCCTCTATGCCTGTTCCTGCAAAATAAATGACAAGTTGTTTTTTTTTTCATAAGAAATTATGTTGCTGTGATCCGACTCAATGGTTTAATTTCATATCTTGGGCTTTTTACCTGCGCAGGTGGCACATGCCCGGTGACAAGGCTCGCACGTCCTCCTGTGGCCGTTGAAATAGGTTCCAGGGTTACAGGTCATCTGGCACTTATGTCCTTGAAGACTGGAGGAATAGATTGCACACACGCACAGACAAAAACAGAAAAAAAGAAAATCTGATTAAAGCTGCCAGCAGTGGCTCATGAGCGATTATCTCCTCCCTGGGTGGTGCACAGACGAGCAGCAGAACTTTACTGCATGTTCCAGACCAACATAAATCAGCTTGTTTTGACAAAGCACAAGTGACTTTGGCCTTTGAGGCAGATGTAGGAATAGAGGTCAGTCAGGAAGCAGGTTTGGAGGTCATAAAGCCTCCATTTGTGAAGTAACAGTGAGGACAAGTCGGTGCGTCTGCTGCACTGAGCTGAAAAACAGCTGGAAAGCGTTAGCCAAAATTTCCCAGAAACAATCTGGTCCCCTCTTCCTCCCTGGCTCTTAACAGGACTAAATGAAGGAGGTAAAGCTGAGTGTATGTGTGTGTTGAAGGTATTTTTTTTTTACTGTGATCTCAAAGCTGTTCTGAGGAAATTACGGCCTCCGAGTGTCTCCACCTCCACCTCTGGCTACACTGAACACTTAAAAGTTGGGTTTGAGACTTCCAGACTACAGTGTGTTTAAGCGTTTCACAGGAGTTTCCCTCATGACCTTGGTGGAATGTCACCACTTTAAATCACAATATCCTCTCTGAAAGAGGCCAAGCAAAATGAACTGGAAAATTTCAAACACTCAAGTTTTTCTAAGTTTCTTTAAAGAGAGGAAAATATATCTGAACAGATCCTCAGAGATTTTCATTATTTATTATTTTTCTTTGAGAAAAACAAGATTGATTGTTCCTGGAATGACAGCTTACTGTTGAGTTATTAACTTGTTTTACAAGCTCAGCATTTCTGTAATTTTACTAAATGTCTTTGTTCCGAAGAAATTTTTCTACCCATTTAATTTGTTTAGTTCTGAGAAGGCTCCAATTAATTATAATGATCCTAATCTTAAAATCAATCCATTCAATATCTGAACTGCGGCACTCAAACACTGCCAACTTTCTCAGTTTGATTTACAATTTCTAAAATTTCTAAAATTGAAATCTACAGAGATAACATAAGTGGTGATAAACAGGAAATATAAAATATAGCTCTTTATGCAGATTGTAAATAGAGTTAAGGAAATTATATCAAAAAATAAAATAAAACACCACCCGATTTCATGTAGCAACACTTCCTTATTCCTATCCTGTGACCCAATAACATGTTAATTACACACTGGTATACTGCAGGGATCACCACCTATATGGACTGTGCAATCCTCAATTAGATGCACAGAGGGTCCATTGATGTGTTTATGGGTCTGAGGCATAACCTCATGATGTACCCTTCATCAACCCCCCTTATTTCCTACCTCTAAGCACTTGTGCTCACCATTTTGGGAATTCACACTCATACAAATGTTAAAGGTATAGTGGAGGATTTTTGCAACTTCTTGAAAATACCCGCCCTCTCCACAAATAATAAAAAAAAAAAATGCACATGCACAACCCTGTAGCGGCTCCCGAGAGTGAGCGAGTACAGCATATACAGCCGTACACAAGCATATTTGTCCCCGTCCACGCTCTGTTTAAAAGTTGCTGTTTGCATCACTCATACAAGCTTACTTTCAAAAAGAAGATTTGCAATTTTTTATTTTTTTTTTTCCCCCGGTATGTGAAAATGGGGATGAGTACATAGGATGGCCTTACATAAACATACCACTTTAATGATCCAACCAGAAAAAAGAAAATCTTCCACTATACCTTTAACAACATGCTAACAAATGGTGGCCGTGGAAAAACTGACCCTTAAGGTAAACCTAACACAGAGCCATTCTAAATCTAACTGGACTGGATAGTCAAACTATATACATTATTAAAAAATGATTTAAAATGATGGCAGTCTAACGTTTCTTTGCTCACCTCATTCCAGGTTTACACTCGGTGCAGATATTGGAGGCGGTACACCTCCTACAGTTCTCCTGACATCTTCTGCAAATGTTGGAATCTGAAAGACACACGGTGAGGACATCATACTTAGCAGCTGAACTGGATCCAGTGTTCCTGTGTACATCTGGTGAGATGTATGAGAAAGAAAGAAGGACAATGTGTGGACAGGGTGAAAAGAGATTAAGACCAGGAATTACAACAGGTGGTAGGAAAGTCTGCGAGAAAGTATAGAAAGAATAAAACTTAAAAAATGAAATTTCATAAATATAGATTTATATTCATTTTAAACATCACTAATAAATACTTTTTTATTCTAGTGAATAAGAATTTCAGTAAAGACAAGACGGTGCAAATGCAGTAGAAACATTAAGTTGAGTTCTGTTTAAAGGGGATTGGAACATTTGTCATGTAGTGCAAATATGATGTTAATGTGATGCAGAGTCTTGATTTGTGACTTGATTAGCTTTCAACAGTTCAATAGTCTGATGGCAGCAGGGAAAAAAGCTGTTGCAGAACCTGCAGCTCCTTAGTATATAAGCTTAATAAATAAAGTTTTTCAAGAAGAAAAAGTATAAAACAATCAATCTGCTGTTGTGCCGGATGAAGCATAAATTCATCTAATTTTGATCCAAAGGGGCTAAATAAAGGAAACTAGTTTTCTAATTCAGAAATCGAACATTAAATAGTGCCAACATTTCAAAGGAAACAGTTTCGCCTTCAACCTGTCCTGTTTGATTGGATCATTTTAGATCTACAGCTTAGATTTACACTGACTTGGCTGCAAACACATGCTCCTAATTGGAAGATTTACATAGTTTTAGTCTTTTGTACCCAATTTATTTCCATCCAGCATATTTCTAAAACATAAGGCAGGTCTTTCAGCAGATTCTTTCACTATTTACTCTGTAATCATTCTATGTTGAAAACAATCTAGGTAAATAATCCTGACCAAAATCTAAAGACAGTCCTGTAGGACCGTTTCATTTTCGTTTTATTTATTTTTTCCCTTCTTCACAGTGATTCAGGACAGTAAAACCTGCTTACTACCACATGCTTTTTCTTTTTTCTTAATTGGATTCCACAAGTAAAGGAAAATAAATAAAGGCTAGACATTACATAAGGCATAAAACAGCATCACTCTGAGCCGAAGAGTAAAAACAGTTTTGCAGAAGGTTCTGTTTTTTGTAAAGCAGGTGGTAGACAGATGTTTCCAAAAGGTCCTTTTTGCTTCACCATCTCTAGAAAAGCATTTCCACTCTGCAAAACTTAAGTCTTAAGAAGTCTTAAGACTTTGATCAACAGACAGAGAAGCATCTTGGCCGAACATTTGACACAGAGGTGTGCTGAGGCTGAGCTGATTGGCACAATCAGCTGGGGTGTCTCTAAGGGAACCTCAGAGTATTTAAAAAAAAACCTCCACTGCCAGAAAAAAAAAAAAGAAGACATACCAATGTCGAGGAAGGAGCCGTCGGCACAGTTGGCAGCACATGTGTTGGAGCCCTCGATGAGGTGATAACCTGTCCTGCATGTGATGCACTGGTCACTTCGGCTGCCGACACAGGTCTCACACATGGAGGAGCATTTCTTACAGCGCTTCCTGTCATCGCGGAAAAAGCCACTGGGGCACTCTGAGACGCACATCCTGGAGCGAAAAAAGAGAAAAGGCCACATAATCATCTCTGTTACCGCCCTCTGACATTAAATAAGACCAATGTTTTCCTGTTTTAGTTTGGTTAGGATTACCAACATTACATCCATTCCCAAAATGCCAGAATAATGAACGGGAGGTCTAGGAGCTTGAGGCAACTCCTTTGAGTATCTTTCAACAAGCTTCTGTGGGGATTTAGTAAAACCTTGGGCCCATTCCTCCCTTCAGAAATAATGTAACCAAGCCTTGCCTGCTGATACAGCTTTTTAGCCCCATCCATCCCCATCCCCATCTGTTGGACTGAGATCGGGCCTCTGTCAAGCCCACTTCAAAACACATTACCTTCTTTTCTTTATGAGTTTTTGATTAATTTAACTGTCGGTTAGGAGTTATTATCCATTTAAAACAACAGTTTTACAAAATCTTTACCAAAGTTGCTTTAATATTTCCACAGGTTGGTGTTGCTTTATAAACGTGAACATTTCTAGAGCATGATGCTTTTTGTATGTTTCCATCTTTTTCCTCCAAAGGAAAGTTTTGTCATTATTTCCACAAAATATCACAAAACATGTATTTGAATAAACTAAGCTCCGGTGTATTTAAAAAGGTTTATCAGTATTTTTGTATGTAGTTTTAGGAGCACTGGCTTCTTCCTCTCTGATTGGCTTCTCAGCCTGAATTTGAACAGGACTCATTTCACTGTGGATATTATAATTCTTCAGTCACATCTTCAGGCTCTTCAATGGGATATTTTCCATTTCTTGTGTCTTTATACTCAGATTCACAACAAATCACCTTTATCTCTGAAACACATGGATATTCCAATGTGCACTTTCCAAAGTAAAGCATTTCCTTTTTTACTTTTAGTCCTCTAGAAATTGTATTCCTTTGATTTTTTTTTAAATGAGATCAAATAAGTGGGTTTGATGTGCTGCCTTAAAAGAAATGCATGTGTTCCTCCAATTAACTTGTCTGTTCTGAATTACAACATCAAAAAGCATAGAGAAATGTCATCATCATTATTAGGATCTTTCCAATTTGGCTAAAAGGTAATCTGGTGTATATGAATTTAAAAAAAAAAAAAAAAAGATGATCTAAACAAACCCTCTAGATTTAAATATATTTTTGGTTATTCTAATGAACTACAATTAAGAAACCATTACTTTAATGTGAATGTAAACATTTGGTTCTAATTGCAAACATTAAAAGACAAAATGAGGCATAAAACATTAAAAGCAAGATGAACACAGTGACACAGTTAAAGTGTATATTAACAGGATCTGGGATTAAGGCAGATCACACTCATAACGTAGCAAACACGACCTCTAAAGCTGGACCAAAGGAATCCTATCCGTTTCAGTGATCTGGGATAGACAGATGCAGAGGTATAATGGGCCCGTTTGTGTGCGTGCAGGTGAACATCTGCTGGATTACTTCAGCACGCCTCGTCACCCAGGGGCTCCTTTCCTAAGGTGGAAAGACCTCTGAAGTCCTCGAGAGCACAGAACACACAAACAGTTCAAGCCTTATTCACACTCTGTGGGACTTTCTGCCAAGAAACGCATATGGAACATGTCAGACAATGAATCCATGTGTGAAAGCACACGATGGCTGCAATCGTGTCAGACCCTTGGGCCCCTTTCTCTGCGGTGCTGAAGCCGGAAGATGAGCGCATCTTATCCTAATCCTATTATGACGGATAAATCTCATTAATAATAATTAAGATTAATTCTTTTTAATCAGTTTGTAAGAACTAGAGATCATATCAATTTAAGAGAATATCAATAACAATCAAACCTCTCAAAGGTTTGATTGTTTATGCATTACATTTCTAATTCCAATAGAAACTAAAAAGACTCACAGGGCCACAGAAATGGATGATTTTAAATTCACACACATATTCCTAGCAATCAGTTTGGTGGATTTAAACTAGCAATTTCATGGTGCAGAATCAGCAAACTAAACACGAGAAGGAATACATTTTTATTCATTTATTTTTTTATATTACTTCCAATGTCAAATTTGCATATTTTAAAAACAAACAGCAACTTCCAATCGAAAAAGCCAAACACCTTTAAAAAGCAGAAACTATCAAACACAGGTGCTGGGTTTTAATCATCTTAATGTTATACATCTGTCGCTCCCAGTGGAGGGAAGCAAAGGGCAGAACACCTCTTAACTTCAGCTTTTATGTTTTTATACACCTGCATCACTTTTTCCTTTTATCAGCACAGAGGAGAGCAAATACAATGGTGGTTAACTTTGATACCATTATGATCAAAGTCTGACGAATTCTCACATCTTCATATTTACAGCCCCACACTTATAAATGTGATTCATAATTAAGAGCAGAAAGCGATAAACTAACAACAAAGTGAGAGAAGCGTTCAAATCTCTGTAGTCCTTCAATCATGTTTTATCATCTGTATCAAGATGATTAAAGCATCAAACAGGACAAAAAAAAGGACATTGACTGGCAGTTTGTATTTCCACTGGAGATACAAGAGTATCATTTTACACTTGTGGTAAATTGTATGTATATATATGTATATATATATATATATATATATATACAGAAGCAACAAAGACCAGGTTTGAAAACAA